TATAACGCCCCCACGGCTGAAAGGGCGAGCATGTTTGGTGGGATGCGGACAAGGGATAAGTTGATGAGGTCTCAGCGGTAAGTCCGAGGGCTAATAAAGCTAAAAACCCGGTTTCGATAACAACGGTAGGCAGAACACAAATAGCTCATTGTGTAGCTTTGCTCTGAATAACAATCAAACAAAAGCTTATGAAGACGAAGTCTTCAGAATTACCGAATATATTACTTTAAAATAATTCCTGTTTTGCAATTAAAAAATCAAACTACTTTATAGATTCATAAATTAATTACGTGGATTGTTTAACTGTGACTAGTTTTGATAGACTTCAAAATGGAAAAAAAATCATAAAGTAATTATAAACTTATTCAAAAAATTTAACAAGAAGACTAAATATATCTATTATAATGATATTTTAACATATTAAATAATTGGGAAGCATTTACTGTCTCCAGCGTATCTCTTTACATCCATGTTTAAATATTATTTTTATTTAGTGTTACCTGCTGGTTGCATGAAACAAAGAAAAGGTGTGAATCAGACTCTTGAAATAAAGACATGACCTGTTGGTTAAGGTGCTCGAATAACAATCTGCGAATCGCGGAATCGAAACCCGTCGCCGAAATACTTGCCTTATCACAATTGGGACCGTTATAATGTTGCGACCAATCCCACCATTCGTTGATAAAGTATACTAACCTATTAATTAGCAGTATTGACTATCTGTCTTCCCTCTAGTCTATCACTTCAAAATTAACGGCGGCTGGTGCACATAGTCCTGGAGTAGCTTTGCGCAAAATTCAATAAACAAACAAACGTTTCAGTAGCAACCGTAGATCCAACAGTTTAAATTATTTTACATTTTTATTCAAGCTGTGCAAGTTAAAACACATCTGTATTTTCAATCTGAATGTAAATTTGTGCGGCGTGTGGGTTAAACAGGGTTCAAATACAGCCAGCCCTAATTTTGAGCCACTGATCAGAGGGAAGTCGGTAAGTCAGCAGCATCCGTCGCCACAAGGACTTTGTTCGGCTTTAATGCAAATAGGCCCCGCTAGCTCAGTAACAAGCTTACAGGTTTATAAATATAAAATTCGGGATTTCTATTTCATGCTCCTTGTGTAGTTTTTTACTTAGCAAAAAACAAACGAATGAATCGAATAACAGGATTGGCTATCAGTCTTACGTTGCTGAAAGTGAAGTGTGGGTTCAGCGAAATCACGGAACGAACCTTGGACTTTCCGACCTGTAGTTAACTACTACTGATTAGGCCATGTCCACGATTACAAAAACATAGTTGTTTGATGTAAATGTATATATTAGGTCTTTGTAATGAAGCGATGATGCTGAACACGTTTTTAATTATAAATTCTATCATCCAACTGCAGCTAGTGCGTAAACGCAGAAATATAATAAAGTTTTAGTGTATATTTTATTGATCAGCAAAGTCATTTAGGTATTGGATCAACTAAATAATCATCAACTGTTTATTAAAATCATCACCATCATCCTGAATTCAACTGGTCAAAAACGATGTCTAATCGTTATAAAGAAGCTCCATGTAATAGTGGCATGATAGTGTAATCAAAATATTTACATTTAAGTATATTGCTTATACCCTGGACTTGGAATCCAAGGTTTCATGGTTCGTAATTCGTTAAAACACGCGATCCACTTTCTGACCGGCCGTAGATACCTATAGGTGAGGCTCCAAAACCCACTATTTGATCATAAAAGAATAACCCAAGAGTGACATCGACTAGTTGCCTTCCCTCTAGTCTATCATTGTTGAAGTAAACAAACAAGCATAAACAAACGAGAAAAAAAAGCTACTCTTACAAAAAATATCCATAATCCTATGCTACAGCTGTAGCTCAACCATTACCTTTCCGACAGATGTAGTCTCCGGGACTGAATAGTACAGGTCGCAACCTTAAAACCAGCTCACATAGGAACCCAGCTTCTGTATTCTGAAATATCTCCACACGTTTTAAGGTGTCCAAGTGCACGTGAATGGCTATTTCGGCTTTAAGTTTGTCTGGAAGGCAGCCAACAGATCTTTCCTCGTCGGATGATTTCTGGGTCATCCACAAGTAGTCAAACCATTTGATGACCTTGTTTTGTAAATGATCAGGTACTCTGCGCATGCGCATGTAGGTTTTGACTGCATCTAATTTTGCTGAAAACAAACAAAGAAACAGATATCGTGAAATATTGTACCTTGACACCATTATTGATTTTAAAAATAGTAATGTTTTTATTAAATTGAATCTGCGTAAAGACATGATTCTAAATCACATTTTCATGTGCTAACCTTTAAGTTGTTGAGATACGTTTTACCGATTATCACAGAACCTATACTATGTATGTATAATTTGAATTCTTCTTTTGTTCTGAACATTCGATAAACAGCTGTCATATATGTTAACACAGTTTTTTTACAGTTGAGTTCAGTAGTTCCCAAATACATATCAGATTCTCCAAAGAACAAAATAGAAATAGAAAATACACAATGAAGGATCAGGTATTAAATTATTATCAGATAGAATGAGAATTGGTTGTTGCCAAATACAAAGATATACAATGTGCTCTCTGTGCTTAGCCCACCAAGGGTATTGAAACCAGAATTTTAGGGTCGTACACCTGAAGACTTACCGCTAAGCCACTGAGGTGCAGATACTTGATTTAACGCCAGGTTACATCACAATAGAAAAAATGGTCATGTTACGGTATAGGAGTGTTTACAAAACATGTCGTAATCTTCGCAATTGCTAAATCATATAAGTAAGTATTATTATTATCTTGTAATCAAAGCAAGCTACCTAAGTAAATTAGAACAAAACTTAATCCAGATATTTATGTAGCTAATTTAATATACCGATCCAACTAAGAGTATGCAATGTCATAAAATAAAAACGTATCATAAATAGGATGCATTGGTTCATCATTTGAGTTATCTTTTCTATTAGCACTATTATTGGCCTTAAGCCCAATATTATATCATGAGATACGAGTAGCTCAGAAGATCCTAGCTAGTATTAAGTCCATTTAATAAACAAACAATAGAAATTAACCCTCACAATTCCAAAACATATAAACTATAAAAATAAATACACATCAAACCTTGTTAGAATAATTCATATCACTGATGAATTAGAGTTTAATATTGGTTTCAGTTTCTTGGTCACCAGAATCTCTTTCTTTCTTTGAATTACATATTATGTCAAAATTTCTTCACATTCCTGATCCAGATATTTGTAGCTATTTGAAGATTTAACAGCACTAGGCTTCAGATGCTCTTTTATACGTTGCTCTAAACGATGGGTGGTCCATCCCACATAATACCATCCACATAGAGAGACAACATATGGATAAACAACGTAGGAGCATTGAAATTAATTAATTCTCTCCTTTATCTTGGTAACGTTGTCAGCTCTCAATATTGATTTTAAAGTTGCACACACGCAACTTTGTGAACAGTTTGATTCCTATATATATTTAATTTTATTTTTCATAACATAACTAAGTGTCTTTACCCATAAGTTGACAGCTTGAACACATCAAAACTCACTTTATAAGGGGTGTGACTCCATTTATATGCCATTTGTAATGCCCTCCATTGACTTAGAGACAAGTCTACGAGGCTTCGAGACCCACGTGGACAGAGCACAGATAGATCATTGTGTGAACTTAACAACAAACAAGCTATATAAAATATTGTCAAGATTAAACCATTTTTAGAACTTAACAACAAACAAGCTATATAAAATATTGTCAAGATTAAACCATTTTTAGAACTTAACAACAAACAAGCTATATAAAATATTGTCAAGATTAAACCATTTTTAGAACTTAACAACAAACAAGCTATATAAAATATTGTCAAGATGAAACCATTTTTAACAACAGATTATTTACACTTTCTACTTCTTTATGAAAATAATGATAGCTACTGGCAATATAATAAGCTCTATAAGGTACGATATTTATCAAATTATCTTTAACTTTAACCGGTATAAAGTTCTCAACATGACTTGTTATACGTTCCTATTTCTAAATGATCTCCAAACCTACTGCCCCCAGTGGCAGAGCACAGATAGCCCATTGTGTAGCTTTGTGCTTAATTACAAAACAAACCAAACCGATTAATATGTGGATGTAAAAAAAGACATCTTTTAGTTATTTTCTTCTTCCCTTGTAAACTTAACAAAAGGATGTTGTTTGTTTAGATTATCTAATAATGAAATCACTCGTTCTTTCCCCTTAAAGATAGCAAAGTATCATCCACAAGCCTACGACATTTGACAGGTTTAAAACTCTCTGGACAGTTATTTAATCATTATTTTTCATGATTCCATAAAAACAAGTCTTTTAGACAAGGTGCCAATTTTCAGTCATATTAACCCCATTTATTTTATCTTAAACATTGTTATTAAACTGAAAATGAGATGTGTGGTGGCAAAATTTAATATTTTTGTTAGATCTTGTACAATCGTATCACTTTGGAAAACCAGTTCTACTAGTAATTAAGTTATTTCCTGTAAAGGGATGTTAGAGTCAAAACTCGCACAATGAACTTATTCATCAAATCTAAACTTTAAAAGTTGTTTAGTTTTCCAAACTTAAATGGAACAAAGTATCAAAAGAATGGAAATTAGAAAAACTAGTTTGGACACATTCGTGAGTCCTCTTAAATCTCATATCGTATATTCATTTTTCACATGTTTTAAGAAACGAATACCAAAAATTTGCCAGTTTCTTGTTATAGGTACCTATCTGTAAAACTACTGGCTTAATGGGACAATTACTTTTATAGATTTTTGGTAAACCATATAGAATACCACAATGAGCGCTGACCGGTATAATATCTTTGTATAGTTTATCACTAAAGACTTTATCTTTATCTTTTTTAATTTCAACAAATATCTTTGTAATTGACATTTTCTTTAACCAATCCTGTTAATGAAACTAACATTAAAGTAAATAGTGTTGCGTCAGCGAGTCACATGACTGCTGTGGCGCCCTCTAGTTTCTAGAACTATCTTGTTCTTCATGAATGTTCTAGTTCTTACTAGATATAGGGTAGGCTGGTATATATAAGAGGGGTACAACGTGACGCGGCAATGTAATGTGTGTGTATAGATAGTGAGTAATTGAACTGCAGTCAGAAGTATTGTTGACGTTCGTTGATTAGCGTTTGTTTTAGCGCGATTGTTGAAGTTGAGTGTATCGGTAAAGTTATATTCGGAAAGAATAAATCAGTTTTATTAAGAAAGGACTTGTGTCGCTTAAGTTTCGTCGGAACGAAGTTACGGAAAAATCAATTAACAAACGGAGATGTAACAATAGTAAAATGTAACTTACATATAGATAGATAACATTAGTAGTAGTAGAAAAGCTAAAACATAAAAAAAAACAATGGGCATGTTAACAAAAATCAAACATTGGAATATTTAACAAGTGTAAGAAAATTAGGTAAAAGAAATTAGGAAGTAGGAATGTATGGGAGCATCAAAATGTAAGGAAACAAGGTAGGAATGGGCGGGTTAACATTATAACAGTTGGTGGCTTTTGACACTGTGCAACCTCAAAGTGGACGTGTATATCGTTCCACTCATTCCTACTTGGTGTGCTTTTTGTAACTTGGCAATTGTTCAAAGTAAATGAAAGGTGTATATAGCTAAATTTCTCTGTTGTAAACTTTCAATATCAAAACCGCTAATTTTTGAAATTTTAAAATTTGTCGAGTATTTAGAAGGGATTAGCTACTTATAAAACGCAATTCAAATATATAATAGATCAAAATTTGAAGTAAAACACGAAGTAAAAATTAGTGGAACGATGGTACACCGACTTTGATGTTGCACCGTGTCAAAAACCACCAAGTGTTGTAAAGTTATCCCGCCCATTTCTACCTTTTTTCCCTTAGTTTTTGGTGCTCCCATTCCTACTTTTTAATTATTTTTATTAAAAAAATTTTTACACTTGTCTCATAGTTTTTTTGATAATAAGTTTCGAGAGTGACTGGGCTCTAATCCTAACCTTCTCGTAGCTTTTCTCGGTGCTAAGTCTCGAAAGTGACTGGGCTGTAGGCCTGTCCTTCTCGTACATTTTATTAGAGCTATCTCTAGACATTTCCTGGTTTATGCTGATATTTTTGCTATTGTTTTCTTCCATCTAACCAGGGTGGCAGCTTTTTCTTTGGTTGTGTTAATGGCTAAGGCTTGTTTCGCATATTCATCATTACCGTTTCTAACCTTATATCTATTCGTGCAGTAATACTCTCTTTACTGGGACAAAGACTTTTCAAGGTTATCAACATAATATTTTCTCCTTTTGTTTTCTTGAAAGGCATATTTGAAAAATCGCATTGTTTCAAGTACAACCTTAGATATCAATAGGTCACACTTAGTGTGAAAACAATGCAAAGGTAAATTATACAACTGATCATTCTTGCTTTCAGTCTAGAGCACTCAACTAAAGCCGTGTTAGACTTCGGCAGTGATAGCGTTCGTCCTCACGTAGAAGACTCACATCTTAGGCTCCAACTGCTATGTTACAATTCCTTTGTCCAACACAGATCCTTTGAGTGAGATGTGTAGAGTTGAAAACTTCGCTTTTAAGGATTAGATCATAGTTAGAACCTAGATCTAGAGAATCTACATAGTCCACGTTTTTATTATCTAGTTGATACAGCTATAGGCTGATCACGTAGCGCGTGTGCATAAGCAATCGTGCAGCCGCACGTGATATGAGGACGGGTTGTTACTTGGCAACTTTTAGAGCGTACTCGTAATCACAGAATATGGCTATTAGTATACCGTTAACTCGTTAGTAGTGTTGCAAGATGGTTACTGGTATTACTTGTTATTACCAAGATTATAAGTAAAACTAAGAAAAAAGCTTTTAACCAAAGTAGCGTAATTCAGTCACGTGCATTTAGATTTGCATAGTGTGAAGGAAGTAGAGAGCTATGTCTTCCCAACAACGTTAGTCAGCCAGTCGGATAGACAGACTGACAAATTTGTGATTTTGTGAAATTTCTATTTTAATCTTCCGACTTTCGTAAGTAATTTAGTGCATTGATACTCTGTAGTTAGTTTATCTACTACTCAACAGCGTGTGTAAAGTGCTTATAAAGTTTTGTTTACATATTGTTTGCAGTGTCTTTGAGATTTT